GTCTCAAAACTCTCTCAAATGTGAGTTGAATTTAAAATTGTTAAAAATTATATATTTTTTAATAACTTTATTAATTAATTCAATTTATACACAATTTTAGTGCATTACAACAAAAGATGAAGAATAATTACTATAATTTAAAAACTGAACTTGTTCAACTTATAAACTAATATAAAATTATTAATACAAAAAGTAAAAATTCTGTATTAAACTATACCAGAATAATTAAAACATTGAGAATTTTGCTTAAATCCATTGAAAATTGTGTTATTTTAGAATTTGTAAGTTGTAAACTATACCAAGCACAACATAAAATATATCAGTAAATTCTTATTAAACACAAAAATCAATAAAATAACAATATTTTCTATCACAATATGTCGAGTCTGCCTATAACACAGACTTTGTTCAGTTAAGTGCTAATTCAGTACTAAATACGGCTGCAATTTTGATGCACTTTTATCATACAAAATATGATGTTTCTCACCATAATTTAAGGACTTATTTAAGTGCATATACTAATTTAAGTACAAATGAAATTCTAGTTATAATAGGTTTGTATTACAAATATTAAATTCATAAAGAAAGGTCTACTGTACGTGCCTTAAACTCCTTTGAAATTAATTGAAAGTCATATAAAGGGTTGATTTTATTAGAAATTAAATGAACATAATCTATGAATAAACATAAAAAATATGGTACTGTACATGGAAAACCTTGAATACAGAATCAAGGTCTTTTAAGTATTATATTAAATATAAAAGTATTTATTCCTATCATATCTATAATCTTATATGAATGATGTGTATATTTTAGTGATTATTCAATTTCATATCAATTCCCATATTTGTATATAAAGGCAAACAACTCATTGAAACAGTCAAACCAATTGGTGACACAACTAATCACAACTACATTATAACCACATATTCCTGAGCCATGAGTTGCGCTAAGAATAACGAGACGTGTTGTGACACCAAATCCGAGGCCACCGAAGACCACATCCGGGAAGCGGTTCGTCAGCATTACGCCCGAGTGGTGACCAGTGCTAAGGAGGGGTCGGGTGACTGTTGCGGCGCCGGCTCTTGTTTCACGCCCAACACTACCGATAAATACGCTCAGAAGTTAGGCTACGACCAGAAAGACCTGGATAATCTGCCGGAGCGGGCCAACCTGGGCCTGGGATGCGGTAATCCTATTAAAGCGGCTAAACTGGTGGCCGGAGAGACGGTTCTGGACTTGGGTTCGGGCGCCGGCTTTGACGCCTTTATCGCGTGCCGAGCGGTGGGCCCAACGGGTCTCGTGATTGGTGTGGATATGACCGATGAGATGGTCACCAAAGCCATCGCAAACGCACTGAAGTCCGGCTACAAGAACGTGGACTTCCGGTTGGGACAGATCGAGGACCTGCCCGTCGATAATGGATCCGTTGACGTGATTATCTCCAATTGTGTCATAAATCTGGTGCCAAACAAACGCAAGGCTTTCCAAGAGTCGTATCGTGTGCTTAAGTCCGGAGGAAGGCTCGCCATCTCGGATGTGGTCACGAATGTGGAGCTCCCGGAGTCGGTGCGCAAGGATTTGGCACTTTATGCCGGATGTTTGGCCGGCGCTACAGTTGTCAGTGATTTGGAGGAGTTCCTCAAAAGCGCCGGTTTTAT